GCATCTCAGATCATTTCAACCATACCTTTAATTATTCCCATTTTGGTTTTAGACATTGGGTTTCTTCAAGTATTAGCTTTTGTACTAATTGTAATTAAAAACTGAAAAGTGAAAAGTCTTAGTTTGTGCCTATGTGCTTGCTGTGTTTCTCCAAATTTTGGAGTATACTTCAGAATATATCAGGAAAAAAGTTTGGTTACATCTGATATTTCATTTATTTAGGAAGGGGAAGGGTTTTATCATCTAGGACTTCTGAGTGTCAATAATATTTTCAATAGAGAGCAGTATTCCAGTGAAATTAAGTCAAATCAGAATTTGTATAATCTGACACTAAAGTATAAAAGTATAGTAACTGAATGTAAATTTTTTATAGTATTTCTGTTCATACAAGAGGATGAAGACTGTTCTAAGAAGTATTTTATCCTTGTGCAGCATTTCTTTTTAATTCACAAAATGGTATACTGATGTAATTTCTGTGTATTGCCTTCCTATTCTGAAAACCAGCCTCAAACTTTGTACCATCTGCTGGTTAGACCACTTTTGACAGATCTGCTGCTGCTGAGGAAGTGCTGACCTACATGTTAGTGTGTTGTCTCAGGTTGGACTTGGCTCCTAGCCAAGTCCCTGGACTCCAGGGACAAAGCTTTCCCCCTCCCTTTCACTTTCTTCCAGCCGACCGGAAAAAAACCAAAAGAACTTAAACCGAATGAATTTTAAATGAAAGATTTATATATATATATATATAGAAAACTATATACACACTACAAAAGGGAACTCTCCAAAAGGGAAAGGGAAGGGAAGGGAAAGGGAAAAGGGAAAAAAGGACAAAAAGGGATAAAAAGCTAAATACTCCCCTCGAGAGGAAGCGAGTCACCCCACACAGTTACCACAGCACTGTCCGCTTCTCAAGGCCAACCAACACGCCAGGCCTCACTCCCTCACCCGGGCAGAGCGACAGCAGAGCTACCTCTACCTTGGGTCCGCCGGAAGAAAGAGAGCGAGAGCTTCCTCTCTCTCCTTATTTATACTCTTGCTTACGTAAAATTGTATGGAATACTGGGAACATGACCTTAGTTCCTTGGTTACAACTTGATCACCAAGGAAGGCCTAGATTCAAAACCACTACATTCTCCACCCCTTATTCCATACTATTTTACGTAATATTTATATTTTACGTATTTGCTTATATCCTGCGTATATATACATATATATATATATATATATAGTTCTTTGGAGTAGTTGTTTTGTGGTAAGCGATTGACTTCAGCATCAACAGTAGTTCGGTTCGGATCCTTGGCACTTCGGTTACAATTGCAGCTAGGTTTAGGACTGGTTTTTTGTTTCATCGTCAGATACTGGTATCAGCATTGGTCAGGTCTCTCTCACTTGGCGACTGGTCTCCTGTAAAACAACTTGAAGCATAAAGTTAGTTTTTTTCCAAAGATAAATTTCCTTGAGGCACACACTGTATCTTTCCATCCTTCCTCATCACTCACCATGTATACCCTGGCCCTTGAGTGAAGACAACTCTACGAATGGGTTTGTCTTGGCCCGAGGTAGGGGCAACCCAAACGGCTTTACCTAACATACCTTTCAGGTGAATCACTGGAACTTTGTCTTCATCTACAGTGTGGAGGGATTTTGTTTGGGCAGGGCCAGCTCGGTTGACAGAGCCTCTAGTATTTACCAACCAGGTGGCTTTGGCTAGGTGCTTATCCCAGTTCTTAAATTTTCCTTCACATAGTGCTTTTAAAGTTGTTTTTAACAGTCCGTTATATCTTTCAATTTTCCCAGCAGCAGGTGCATGATATGGAATGTGATAGACCCATTCAATACCATGCTCCCGTGCCCACGTGGCTACTAGATTATTTTTGAAATGAGTCCCATTGTCTGATTCAATTCGCTCTGGAGTGTCATGTCTCCATAAGACTTGTTTTTTCAGACCCAGAATGGTATTCTGGGCCGTTGCATGGGGCACTGAATATGTCTCCAACCATCCAGTGGTTGCTTCTACCATGGTAAGCACATAGCGCTTACCTTGGCGGGTCTGTGGCAACGTGATATAATCGACTTGTCATGCTTCTCCATATCTATACTTGTCCCAGCGTCCACCATATCATAGGGGCTTCAATCTTCTTGCCTGCTTGATAGCAGCACAGGTTTCACAATCGTGGATAACCTGGGAAATAGTGTCCATGGTTAAATCCACCCCTCGGTCTCGTGCCCATCGGTAGGTGGCATCTCGGCCCTGATGACCTGAAGTATCATGGGCCCATCGGGCTAGGAATAACTCTCCCTTATGTTGCCAGTCCAGGTCTATTTGTGACACTTCAATTTGTGCAGATCTATCCGCTTGTCTGTTGTTACGATGTTCTTCGTTGGCTCGACTCTTGGGTATATGGGCATCTACGTGGCGGACTCTCATATTTAGTTTCTTTACTCTAGAAGCGATGTTTTGCCACAAATCAGCAGCCCATATGGGTCTTCTTCTACGCTTCCAACTCATGTTTTTCCATCGTTCTAGCCATCCCCATAGGGCATTGGCTATCATCCATGAGTCAGTATAGAGGTAGAGCCTTGGCCATCCTTTTCTCTCTGCGATGT